TCGGGAAAGTTTTTAGATTGAGCTCATTAAAATTTAGTGCGTGCATTAAGTGCGATGACAAAGAAAGAAAGAAAAAAACGAAAAATATCTGGAATTTATCAAAGATCGACCTAATTAAAACCAGATGTTCAAGTTTTAGTTTATGAGACGCATCTTGAGTTGTTGATTTTAGAAACTTTGTTTTGTTTGTTGTAGTGTATTTAATGGAATTACATACTTCAATAATTAAATGTTTCACAAAATCGTTCGGCGAATGAATGTTTAGAGCACTGCAGATGGAGCAATGCGTGGGTGAATAAACACGAAGAGATGCGTCAACCCTTGTTGACGCAGAGGGAAAATATAAACGAGTTTTTTTCCATTAAATGGTAACAATGAACACGTGTTGTTGTTGTTGAGACACCCTCTGGATCTAAACAAAGTGTTACCAACGGATGGGGGGGTGGCAGCACCCGGACAGAAGGAGGAAGGTCCATGGTCAAACGACACCCTTTTCACCGTTAGATTAATGCTACTGGGAAGTGATTCACAGTTATGCGTGTATGAAAAAGAAAAGGCTTTTCATTGAAACGCACAGAAGCGTCGGGGGGACTTAATGATGATGACTTCCTGGCTAAACCAATCCTAAATCCAGTTGTCCCAACGACGATGATGGTGATGATGATGCGCGTGCACGCATGACGGAAGACCTGGAGGATACGAAAATGCACGACGGCGTTGGAATTGTAACAGTATTCGGATGGATGCGGCACAGGAAGAAGAGAGAAAGAGGTTTCAGTAATTAACGATCCTGGAAACGGAATCCTTTGTTGTTCTTCACCTGTTGACAGCCACCGCGAGAGGTCGACGGAACATCCGTAGCATCCAAGAAGCAGAAATAAAGCAGGAGGTGCATTTCTTTAAACTTCTGATTTATTTCTTCTTCAACTTGGATGCTGCATAACGACAACAAGAACAACAACAGCTACGCGACCGCAGATCGTATTTGTACGTTCGATCGCCCGCAAATCCAATAAACTTTTCTCTCTCCTACCGTTGCGTCATCGTCTCATTACTTTCGGTCGTCAGGTGATCTCGAATTACTTACAGGTGCACACGCTCGAAATCCAATACGCAACTCACTCACTTATACTCCTCCACTCTTCATATTCCTCCACCTCCATCGAGCGCTTATTTACGGTGTTTTTCCGCGATGACCAATCCACCGAACGTTATTAGGCGTTTCCGTTTCGAGGAAGACCGACCGCATCGCTCGTCCATAAAACACGCATTGTCTAAACTTAACTTGAAATACCTGATCCAGGACAAATAATTACCTCTATTATCATTTTTCTCTCTCTCTTTTTGATTTCAGCAAAGAAAGAAGAACCCAAGCAAACCTCTCTCAGCAAACAGCAACTCCCAGTATTCAAGAAACGCAAAAATAATTATAACTTAACAGAACTGAAGCCCCTTTTATTACACTTACAACCCAGAGTATTATTATATATCTAAACAAAACAAAAATATTTTCGAACCTTTTGAACCTCTTTCGGAACCAAATCAATAATAAGAAGGAAACGCAAACGAAAATAAAAACAAGAAGAAGCAAAGGCGACGCTGGTCCTCACGCATCGCGACATCCAAACCAAAAGGTGAGTCTCCTCTTTCTCTCTCTATTTATTTCTAGCCATCATCTTGACCTACATTCCCTCGGAATCAGCGGAAATCCATTTCGAATCGAAACAGGAATTTACGAACGCGCGTTCATATCGATTCGCGCGTTTCGAATTTAAATTTACTGACCTTTTCCGGGTCGACGACCCATCAATTATTCCCGTATAGTTAATTGAAAGAGAAAAAAACAAACAAACAAATAAATAAAACAAACAGCGACAAAAATTGGACGCTATCCGGAAAACCAGTATTATTAGAAATGACACGACTAAAAGCATACTTTTTTCCGAAACGAATTCAAAAAGAAGAGTTAGTTGTTATGACTGCGATTCCGCATGTAAACAACGCGATATCATCATCTCGCGAAATTTATGAGAGGCGTTGATAATGAATACACAGAAAAAAAAAACAAAACGTAGATGTTATGAAACAACGCCGAAATTGCTCAATTGTTCATGACTTTTTATTGTTTACGAACTTCGATCGATTTTCATGTTAATCAAAGTACGAATTCTATTATAAAACGGCGCGTAAACAGATTAAAAAAAAAACAATTTGTTTACGCATTGTTTTCGTTCGGTCGCGTCTATAAATATAAAGTTTGAGATAATGAACTAAGAGATTCGTTCGGTTCGATAATAGTTGAGCTGAAAAGTAACGGTGTGCCAAAATGGTGGCCGCTTGAAAATAGAACGAAAATATTTTCTTCTATTCGTAGTTTTTGTTTTATTTTGTTTTTGGGAAAACAACTTTTCGTTTCGATTCCGAAATAAACTTGATCTTAAACGAATGTTTGGCCTCGAGGTCTATGTCATAGAAAGAGCGAGAGAGATCCAACGTAAATATAAACAACGTTTTTTTTTTTTTTTGTTGAGTGGATCTCGCCAACGCGAAAATTAGCACACAATGTTGCTGCCGAAATTACGTAATGAGAGATATTGAAAAGTTCGCTCACTGAAAAACGAGTATTGTTATTTCAGTAAAATTAGTTCATAAACATAAATAAGCGTAAGTTTGGTTAATTATTTGAAATTCGAATGGTGCGTACGGAGCTGGAATCAATTATAAAATGAAGTTTCATTTGGACGTTTGGAAACGGTATTTTCGTCTTGGACCTATTTACGAGCTCAACAGCGCACAAGTTCTTCTCTTCTTAGAGATTGGCCTCAATCGAACAAAGCACGGTTTCCCTCCTTCACACACACATTTTGTTTTTGAGGAAAATTTCATCCGATTAACTTTTTTTTTTCGTGGAAACGCTATTACCGCTATTATCGTTTCACACTTTATTTCTATCTTTGTCCTCAGTCCGCGTGTCGGCCGCCGATAACAAACGTTTTCTTTGTTCTAAAACTCCGCCGATATCACTCGATGATGACACGTTCCATCCGGGTATTTTCCTTTTATCTATCGACGAACATGACGGAGAAACTAAAACGTAATTGGATAGAGATAAATTTCGATATGTTAAATCTTTTGGTAAAGAAGAAAGAAAAAAAAGGATCATGCATCAGCTGCGTTTGTTGTGCGAGCTGCGTTCGGCCCGGATTGGAAAACCACGAGCGCACAATAAAAAATTACCGTTCGCAAATGGCAAAGTTCAGGGATAAAGTCAATGGTGGTGGAGGAGGAGGAAAACATCTGAGCTGTTACACGACGAAGAGCATAGAGAGAGAGCGAGATGAATCCCACGCAGGTCATTAAATTGTTATTAAAATCGAATGGAACATAATGAATCCTAATAACGCTGCCCCATTTTTACCATTAGGTACAAAAAAAAACGAACGATTTCTCTTGAATTACCAACAACTATAATTGGTATTTCCATCTTAGGGTTAAGGTTAACAACAATAATTAACTGGAAAACCATCCTTTAAAAGGAGCACCTCAATCGCAAAGCGTTAACAAACAAAAAAAACAACAAGAAGACAATACCTTTCGATTGTGTATTTATTGACGTGTGACCCAATTGTGGTCATAATTTGCACTGATGATCGAAACGAATTTAACATAACCGGTAGCAAAAATCACAACTCTCTTTATCGTAATTAATTGAAATATCGTCGATTCGAGAAATAAAACAAAGGAGAGGAAATCTGCAAGCCGTGCAGTGTGTTCTATTGCCTGTTGTCTCTTGATCTACATATTAAATCACGGCTATAATTATAGCTCGAGTGGCAACCTTGAATTTAATAATCGTTGTTTCCTTTTTTTCATATTTTATCATCATCATCATCATCATCATTATTATTTCTATTGCTTTCGCATAATTCGTGATCTAAACGAAAACACTTTTATTTCAACACTTGGCTACTGCGGTTTATCTATATTAATATTACTTTTTGTTATCAAAGCAATTATATAACAATTTTCGATTTATAAACAAACAAATATTGCTAATATACTAAATTTATTATAATATTGGTCATGAAGTATACAAATTGAAGACAAAGGAAAACTTGCTTAGTTTGTATTTTACATTAGTTGCAAATGGTTTCTAATAAACATGCAAACTAGACGTAATGAAATTAGTAATGGTTTTTCTTTGTACAATGTTATTAAATGTTGCACAATATGGAAATTAATATTTTTAAAAATGATATAATTACTGTAATGATTATTTCAGAATTTATGTGTTGATTGTAAATTGTTTTGAATAGGTACAAAGTTGATAACAATTTGTTATTTGCAAATAATATTTGTATGTTTTCCTTAAGTTTTCTTTTAAATTCATTAATTTATGTTAAAGTAACAAAAGCAATGATCATTGTTACACAATGTGGTATAAATTTGATCTTTAGTTATTTACTAATGATATTTTTTTAATATTATTAAATGTATGCAAGTGGTTCTGTGGCAATGTTCAATGTTGCACAATATGGAATAAATATTGGCGAAGCTTGCGTGCAACGAAAGGAATGCTGAAAACTTTGGTCAAGTTAAATTGGAAGCAGGCTGGGAACAAATGTCTATTCTTGCAATCCGCCCGAAACGAAGGATTGCAATCACATATATCCATGTAATTAGTCTATATGGAGGAAAAAGAAATGTATTTCCTTCAATTACAACAACAATAACAACATTCGAATAGAGTTAACATTGAACTTGTAACAGTAACGTTGCATCACGTTGCGTTCGCGTCTCGTCACTCTTCTCCTTCCAGAAGGGTGGTGGTGGAGGAGGACCCGCGAAAAATGTCCTCCTCCACTCTTCATCCACCACCACCACATCCATAACCCGTCCCGTCCCTCTGGTCCCGAACCTCTCCTCCGTACCAGAACAGAACCAGCGGAAAACCGCTGGCTAGTCAATATTAACAAAGATAAAGTGATCACGCTTGCGCCTTCAAACCAGCTGCTGGAACAGCTGACTGGGGCCCCCCTCGCAACGCCGCGACGCCCCACGATCAGCTGTACAGGGTCAGACCTGTCAGTTGTGCTCTGATCTCTCGCTCGAATCGCAACAAACTCACGTAAGTCAAGTCCGCCGCTCCGAGTTCTCTGCGCCTCTGCACCTTCCATTCTTCCTCAACAACAACAACAACATCAACAACAACCATCATCAGCATCAAAACTACAAAGAAACAACATAAAATAATAAACGGTAAATAATCCCTTAAGGAATTTTCAAATTCAAAATTTTACACGAGTCGCCTTCGATCCGCGGAATCGAACGGGCAAGGAACAGCAAATATCCGGATATTTCGGGGTGTATATTTAGGTTTTTCGTGTGTGCTTACGCAACGCTTTGGCTTCGATTCAGCTCCTCTCTTTTTTCTTTTCAACGTCGTTTTTCCCGTTCGCGTCCGCGTCATTTCCAAGCGTTTTCCTATTTGCGTCAACATATAATGGAAGCGGATCGCGGTCGGCCCAGACACAGCGGCAACAGCAACATTTCAATTGTTTGTAAACAAAAGTGGGCTACAAAAACAACAAATTGAAGAAGCAGTAAAAAAACGGACAATGACGAACTTGTTGCAAATTTGTGAAAGGAGCTTCGCGTCTGACCTTTCGGCTCGTTGCATTCTCGCCTCGACGTTAACAAATCCTCGATTTATCCTTTTATATATATTTTTTTTCTTTAATCATCGCACTTGATTATTCCGCCGACTGCAATTACGCAAAAATCCTTCTCCTCCACTTCCCACGCAACATAAATCTGTATTTAGATATTTTTTGTTCGTTCGCTTCGAAATTCACTAAGCGCACTATCTGATATTCGTTAATCAATTATTAATTTGCATCGAAAAAATAAATGCACAAACACATTGCAACGAGTCTGAAAATCAATGTGCATTCACAGAGTAATATTAATATAACGTTAATAATAATTACATATTTAAATATATTTTTTTTCCCATTTCCACTGTTCAATTGCGCAACGCGACGCAATCCGTTTCCTCCGTGCGCGTATCACAATGGAGTTGGCTCGTGCAAGGCCCACGCGATTTTTATTACTTTAATTTTGTTTCATCGATACACCTTTCTCCGAATTTCTGCTCACCTCTGCCAAGAAAATTCCGAAACCAGAGCAAACTCCCAAAGTCAAAGTCGACGAAACTTTATTTTTACACGAACGCCGCCGCCGCTCTTCTTCCGGCTCTATTTTTCAGCTCCTCTCTCTCTCTCTATCCATCCATCAAATCACGCAATCAAAATTGTTTAACGTAACTAAAACATAAGAGAAAATACATTAATATATTGCATTTTCAACATTATTTTTGTTTCACATTGTAAAGTCGTTGAAAATGTTTCACGCGGAGAAAATAAACGAGCGGCTACAAATGCAGGTTTCTCGTTAGTCAAAGTTTACGTCATCAATCGTCGCTTAGCTCCCGACGAAACAAGTGAACACGAACCAGAAACTGATGCATCGTAACGTTTGTGCGCGATCGTAAGCGATTCACTGCATTCTTCGGAACCAGAAATCAATTAAGTTATGTTATGTGTTTAGGGCGATTGTTCTTTTTTTGGGAAAATACGCATCGAATATTGATGCTCCCCCTAATCTAATCAGTTGGTTCAGAGCAACATTGATTCCGGAACTCGAAACGAAATCGACGTAAACAAGGGCCTCGTAGATCGTAAAATCCCTCTGCCAGGCCTACAATTTCTGTTCGGGTATTAAATGCAAGGGGGTGAATATAGCACTCCCTGTATATTCTATTTCCTTTGTCTACTACACACTATATGTCACAGTCGATGCCTATCTTCGTTCTTATGTAATTTAGAATTCTACATAAAATAAACATTTTTAGTTGAAATCATTCAAAATTGTGATTAATGAAATTGGATAGAATCGAATGGAATTGAGTTTGGTTCGGAAATATCTTGGCCTTAGCGAAAATTATCGAGTTCAGCGGGCAAAATCTACGATAAGATTAATTCCTATTACTTTTATCTTGTCTGCGCTATAATGCTATATGCTGAAAGTGAATAATTTTTGCTTAATTGTAGATTTTTTTTATATATAAAATTAAACGCTTTGTGTGCTGCTATGAATCTATATAATAATGTCCGGACAATAATTCCTGAATCTAGTGGTATTGCAATGCAATAAATGAATGAGGGCGATAAACAAATAAAAATTTGAATTGTATCGAGTTCGTTTACTCCATAGAGTCGACGTTAATAGCGGAGATAAATTTATCAAGTTTCAAGTTTAAAGGAAGAGCAACAACGTACAAAAAAAAAGAAGAGCTGGAAGGTTTTTGGATGAAAATCTCTCATTGAGTTTGCGATCGAAGCAGTTTTCGCCAACTACGATCGAGCGTCGTAGCAAATTGGGTACGAAATTCGCGTGGATATTTTCGTTTGGCGTGTGTGCGCGATGCTGCAAGAGCAGCTGGAAATAATTGATGGGATATAGAATTTTCCGCGCAGCGAGAGAAGAACATAATGAAGAAGCAGATGGTAAATGCGAGCGAGCGGTGGCCCTTTTTTGAAGAGCACGTTTCGAATTCCTGCACAGAGAAAGAGGTGTTCAATACACCTTTCAATTTCGGAAGGAGAGGATTACGACGGTCATTTATTATTATTGTTTGTTTGTTTGTCTCTTTTTTTTTCTCTCCTCCTCCTCTTCTTCGCGACGCGTTTTAAAAATACGTCTCTTTGTTTGTTTGGCATCGTTTTTGGGAGCGCGCACGTGCGCCGCGTTTCTTTATTTTTACTATAGATATATTTTTTTTAAATTTTCGTTGTCGGAGATGTTAAAAGTTTGAGTTATCTTTATATGTTATTTATTTGCAATGTTTTGAATCTGTTTGCAGACAATGTTCACCAGCTTGGCCAACTACCTGTTAGGAACATCGACTAATAACCAGGTAACAGCGGACGCGGCCGAAGGAGGTGAAGAAGCCAATAGCAACATCAACAACGTAAGACTGACAACCTGCGAATCCGACGATGAATGGGTGCTGGTGGAGCGAGACAGCGAGGGCAACTCTGAAGTTAGCTCGGAGGACAGCGAAAGCGAACACAAGTAATTATTCCTGCTGGTGGAGATGTCCGTCTTCTTTTTACTTACAAATCTTTGTTTTTTTTTTGTTCATTTTCCTGCAGCCTGACGACGCGTCTGTCCAGGACAAGTTCGTCATCCTCCCTGCGATGTCCGAGCTCGATGGAGGAGTCCTGGTTCCTCACGCCGCCCCCATGCTTCGTGTCCGCGGGTCCCGTCCACATGGAAACCTCCCCCTTAGAGAACCTCCTCATCGAGCACCCCAGCATGAGCGTTTACCATCAGCCTCCTGCGCTGGCGCTGCGCAGACACAACCTGCTGGACGCGGTGGAGGATGAGGAGGAGGTCGGCGAGGTCGAGGAGGGCTTCGTGGAGGTGCAGGCGCCGGAGGAGGAAGCCCCGCAGGAGCAACCTCAGCAGCCCAGGAGGCACAGGGTACACCTATTCAGTCAAGAAGAAATGCAGGGTGTTAGAAGGAAACAAGCTCAAAAGGTAATACAAAAAAACTATTTTCTTTAATAATAATTTCAAGAAACCATTTCATTATATTAACATATTTTACAACTAAATTTATAAAGACTGCAAGTTTTGCATTGGAATTGGAATTCATCTTTATTTGACTCACGGTTAAAGAATATACCTTCGATGAGAGCTACGATATTAGGATGAGAAGGATCTACAAAGTACAAATAGTGAAGGTGTATTGTTTGTTCCAGGTGCAGATTCAGAAGGCCTGCCAATCTCTGAAGCGCGGCTACCTTGAGCGCAACAATAAGGCTCGTGAAGTAAATTGCCGCAATCAACGGCTCAGAAGGGGAGAGCGTTCGCAGGGCGCAACTCGCTCCCACGCCAACAACAACCGCAAGTGCTACTAAGAACGGAAGAAAAACGAAGAATTACAAAAAAAAACAACAACAACGCAGAAGAAGAAGTAAAAAAAAATCCACAAAAAAAATATTTCAAGAATAATTAAGAAGAAGATGAAGCAACAACAATCTCCCCTTCCGACAGAAAACCAGCAGGAACATAAGATAAGATATGACAAAAAAAAAAGTTACAAAAGAGTTAAAAAAAACACAAACATAACTTTTAAACCCCTAACTGTAATTAATTAATTAATTAATCGATAGATCTCAGCCCCTAAACTTTAATCGAAAAAAAAAATAATTATAAAAATAGATAATTAAGAGGAAAATACAAAAGGAAACATTACAAAGCTTTGGGTTTGGAGCACTCCAACAAAAAAAATAATAAAAAAAAAGTAAATAAATCTCATCACGCGCGCGCCTAAGTAAGCTTCGCTGATTAAGCAAACTAATTAACTGCTAGTTGACACCGTGTAGAAAGAAAGAAAGAAAGAAAAAAAAACACTAGACTGTAACAAGTAGTATTACTACTTCTACCATAACTACTCTTTTATTTCTCATCTCATTGCGTACTGCAATTAGGGGATGAACTCAACGAGATGATTGCGAAAAGAATCGAAAACAGAAACAACTTGCATCGTTCATCCCATCTAAATGTCTATGAAGCAAACAATTGTAAATCTTTGTAAAATAATAAAAAAAAAATCAGCTTGTTTTAAACGGTAAAGAAATCAAAGCACATGTGATTTTAGACTAAATTACCAAAGCACCGGTTGTGTTCAAAAAAAAAAATAAAATAAAGAAAGTAATGTTGACAAAAAAAA